TTTTGTGAGAAGCCGGGAGAGCTGTATTAAGATCCCCGTACTTTTGAGTGCTGGTCGTTAGCGCTGTGTTAAGTTCACGGTCGTGGTCGCTCCTGTGTTTTACAGTCGAGTGTATACGTTATTCGTTGTGTGTGATGGAGTCTGAGCAGCAACGGCGCTAGGAGGTAGATAATGACTCAGTCACAAGTAGCAAGTCAACTGTTCAATGGGGATCATTCATCGAAGTAGGCGTGTTGAGATAGAAGTGGGCGTTACTGTCAAGATAGGCGTGTTCCAACCGAAGTGGAAGTTTCTGTCAAGGTACGCATGTTTACATCACGTCCGGGTCACCAATGTGCGTGTAGTTGTTATTGACAATGTCAACCTTAATCTATGAAGAGGAACCCCAACATGGAATAACTCGTCTTGCATACTAGTGAATTGGAATTTTATTTTTGTAGTGGTAGACACACTACAGTATCCTATGAGACCTCCTTTTCCCACCATCGTGGATATTGGATTTGTTCAGCACACTCGTTAACCTCTATATATATAAGGGTGGGAAAGAAATGCCTTGCTTTATTAGACATGGGGAAAATGGTATTTGATAATTGCAAAATTCCATATCCAATTAATACAAAGTTCAATCCCTTGTCTCGCCTGTCAATCGAATTACAAAAATTCTCATCACTTGTATACATCAATTCAAAATATGGTACTTAGATACCGTGAAGTTGATGGTCAACATGTAAAAACGCCTGTTTATGGTGTGCGCAGGTCACAGGCTTCAGATAGTACACCAATCAAACACAATATCGTGATCATTCACGGTAACAATACATACTATGTTCTATGTTCTTGACTACTCTGAAGAATCAGTCGTGTTGTCCCTAAAACTAACCCTAAATAGTTGCTTAATTTAATACTTTATTTTTTAAGCCATGAATTGTTTCGTTACTTCGATAAATAATACTCTCAGGTGGAATTTAATACTTTCAGTTGGCTGCAGTCAATTTCAAGAAAAATGATGCAGATTCTCCACACGTATATCCCGGAGTTTGATTAAAGAACTGTAGATGAAGAGAAGATTCTATGAAGAACTGATGAGTGAAAGTTTCTAATCTTTTACAGTCTGTAAGTACTAAATGCAACTCTTTATTAATCATCTAAACTATTAATCTGAAGATATTTACTGAAAGTTGTTTCTTTCAAAGACAATTGTTTCTTTCCATATATTGAAAATAGTTTTGTATAAGTCGGACCATTTTATCACGTGATCAATACTTTATGTGGGAAGAGTTGTTATCGACAATGTCAACCTTCATCTATGAAATGGTACCCCGTCATAGAATAGAGTTAACATGTCTTATATACTAGTGAATTGGAATTGTATTTTTGTAGTGGTAGACAAACTACAATACTCCCCCCCCCAGAATTATATCTGTGATGGAATTCGATGAACGGATACCACTAATTGATTCATTGCTGTTTTGTGAGAAGCCGGGAGAGCTGTATTAAGATCACCGTACTTTTGAGTGCTGATTGTGAGAGCTGTATTAAGTTCACGGTCGTGGTCGCTCCTGTGTTTCCATTAGCAGTCGAGTGAATACGTTGTACATTGTGTGGGATCGAGACTGAGCAGCAACAGCGTGAGGAGGTGGATATTGTCGCAGTCACGAGTAGCGCGTCTACTGTTCAATGTGGATCATCCATCGAAGTAGGCGTGTTCAGATCGAAGTAGGCTTTACTGTCAAGGTAGGCATGTTCACATCACGTCCGGGTCACCAATGTGGGGAAAGTTGTAATCGACAATGTCAACCTTCATCTATGAAAAGGTACACCGTCATAGAATTTAGTTCACTTGTCTTATATACTAGTGAATTGGAATTGTATTTTTGTAGTGGTAGACAAACTACATATACAGTAGAGAGAGAATTGGTTAGAATTAAAAATTTAATAAAAAATATGTATTTGCTAGGGGTTCCAAATTTATCGACTGTTTATATCCAAGTAAAACAGAAATGCCAAGATTTATTATATTAAGAGAAATCATTAATCCCCATTTTTTGAAATCGTATTTATTAACTTATAAAACTTATTCATCTCCATCTTTATATGTATATCTATATTTAATTTAGAAAATATATATTTCTTTATTATATGAATAACTACAAACAATTTTAGAATCTAAAAATTTTCAATCAAAAATCTAAATTTTTTTAAAGAATAAAAATGTATTCTCATGCAATTACATTAATTTGATTGGTCTAGGGGATTTTCTTCAGTCAAAGGGTCTGCATTATATTATAACTACTTTATATTAGACAAAACTCATTGATTAACTTAAAATTTTATGTTTTTGTGACTCTTTTTTTGGCAATCCTTTTCGTGTATATCAAAGGGTTAGGATGTTTTAATGATAAGCCACATTTTCAAAGTGCTCAGAATAGTTATCTTTTTTTTAAATACACCACGACTTGCATGTAGTAGTCAGTAACATATTTCTGTTTATTTTGATGTTATCTAGTGGAAGTACATGAAACTTATAAGAAACTATTTAGTTGCTATACAAAGAATTAACTTGATGAGGAAAATAATATCTCTTTAAAAAGTGTGGTTATCATTAAATTGCCTGAAGCCCTTTATATATTAAAGAGTACAATATAATTGCTAGCCCTTCTTAAGGCAAAGAATGAGATTTGATTAAAATAAAATTATTATATTTTTGAAATGCAACTTACCCTTAAAAGGCTGCCCTAAAATAGTTAAAGTTCCCTTCTTCACTTCAGCTGGTTCCCTTTGTAAGCACGGCTTTGGAGTGTAACTTGTTCTGTAAGTCGAGGCACCTTCCATTTTTCCTGGCATCTTCAATGCATCACTGCTGTCCTCGCTCTTAATCAAGCTTCTTGGCTGCCATTTCTTTGGTATGAAATCGTGCCTATAAGTAGTGCAATCAGCGAATTGAACTTTAGGTTCTTTGTATGCTTTAGGTCTCTTGGCAGTGCGTTTTGAAATTGGTTTAGGTACATAATCTTCTTTGGTGGTTGATAGTTTGACAAGAGGTTCATCTCCTTTCCACTTTGCATCGGCAGAAGGAATTATCGGCTGTTGTCTTGGTAGACAGCCAAAAGGTTTGAATCTATATTTGTGTTCGGTTATTGCTTGAAAAGCCTCTTTATCTTGGGCAAAAGGAACTTTTTCTTTCCTGTGTCCGCAGCATCGATGATGGCCACAGATGCATATTTGACAAATGCATTTTCTGATTTCGCACTTCCTAATGCCCATAAGATGTTTTAATTATTGTATTGACTATTGTCAGGCAATAACTTCTTGAGGATAATTTAAATTACGTACATGGTGAGAATAATTTCAAAACAAATCTTGTTGCTATTTCATGATTTGTGGTTTCTTTATGGGTAAATATGAATGCTTTCAACTCAATTAACCCTCGTTTGCGTTCTGATGAATGTTAAACAAATGCAGCGCAAAAATTGGCTCGTGCGCATATCTATTTATCTTAATTTCGACTATTTTTAACTGGATAGTTAAAAGCAAGATTTACTTATTAAAGATTTGTGTTTAATACAATATTAACCAATGTTAATTCAATTTCAATTCACCAATTTCAACCAATATTTGACTGAAAAAAAAAACTTCTCTCTCACAGCTTTATATTTAAGTTGACGTCCCTTTTCACTTATCTGTCCACAGGAAATCCATTAATGATGAATCAGTTACAGATACAACGAATGGTAATAATTTAAAAATAACCACGCCATTTGCTCCATATATTGATGTTTTTTGTTCTATTTTGATCGTCATTTTCTTAAAACTTTTCTCTACTACTTGAACAATAAATGAATATTCTAATGCGTGAAAATTAAAAAAAACTCTATAGAATCTGACCAACTTTTTTAAAAGCATTCTGTTTTATTTTCGATTACCTTAATTCTGAAATCTAAAATAAGTTCTGTGTGCTGTGTTTCATCTTCTACCCTCTGTATATGTAGTATAAAACTTCTCCAAAATGTAAGTATGGTTAGTCTATGTAAAGAACTCCCCTAGACATTCGTCTGAAATAGTGGCGGTGACTTTAGTTACGTGGTTTAACTATTAGTAAGTAGGTCATTATTTCAGACAGGTTATAGCTCTGATCGGCGCGAGAAAGGGAATTAGTGGAGAAAGAAGCTCTCCTCTTTGAAATGCACTATTTCTTGTTTTCATAGCAGCAGACGGCCTTAAACTTCGTAGCGAGGGGAGTTCTTTCTATAAACAAACTGTATTATTGGATAAGATGTTTACGTATTGGCAATGAAAATTAAGTAATAGTGTGGGAGAAGAAATACATATTGTTAATAGCAGAATTTATCGCTAACTGAATGTGACCAATCAAGTGTTGGGTAAGTTCTCTCAAATCGTCCCAGAGTTCATAGGGTTTTTACGAGTAGTTATTTTTTTTCATACCACAATTGATTTTATTCTTCATAATGTTTTTACTTTTAACGTGTCAGTTCTAAATGGCGATGGTTATATTTAAGTCATTTTGAATTGATTATAAAAGAAAAACTTAAAGTGTGTGTGCTCCATTAAGCTGCCATTTTTCACTTACTGAAAGTGGGAGATGGTTTGAAGGGGGAAATATAAACATTACTGTTAAGACAAATGAAGCATTATTTTATTTTTTTACTTTAAATTGAATAACACCAAATGACCCCCAAATTAGACTCAATCAATGCAGAGGCGATACTTTCTTGATAAAAGGGGTGAATTTTTCTGATGATGAGGTATAATTTGAATTCAAGTGTAAATTTTGTATATACATATTTTTTTTAAAGAATTTTGTTATGTTCATGGAAATAATTTTGTTGATTTGAAACACTGAAACATGCGGGATTTAGCGTCGTTGTTAGTTTTCCCATGATAGTTATAACGAAAGTATGAACTACTTGATTGAAGTTCAATCTATTTAAAATTCTGGAAGAGGTAATGAAAAATTTATGTACCATTCCCCTAGTTTTATTTTCATTAGTATATATTTTTTCCAAATATCACTCATTCCAACGTATTTAAAGCCGTAATAAGACAGTGCTTAAAATTAATTATTACTGTAATGCCTGCAGCGACAGATACAAAAAAAATAATTGTGACTGTAATATTTACCTTAACTCTTTTAAATTAAAGCAATCTATTAACGACAGAATGACTCTAAAGATTTTTGATTCCAATAAAAGCAGGCGGTGTGACAAACTTTAGGAAAGTGTCAAGGATATGACAACGTTTAAAGTATATTGCGTCTCGTTGTGATTTTAAGGATAGCCAATAGTTAGTGAGTGAGTTTATAATTTTCTTTTATTAATTTTAATCAAGTTCGAATTTTTTTAATCGTTTGGTTAATTGTTTTATTTTATGCTTGTTTGCTTATTCTTTTAAAAGTGTGAAAGTGAAGGAAAACAAAGTAGATTTTTTCCGTAGCACTTAAAAAAAATTGAGATTTGATTTAAATATTTTAACTTCGAATATTCTCGTTCTCTATCCATTTCTATGTTGAGTATAATGCGTATTTATATGCATGTGCAGCGATATTAATCTTTTTGAAATAGAAGGCTAAATACTGATAAATGTTACTGCTAAGTTACTTCATAAATGATTTTTGGTAAATTATCCAAAAAGTAGTCATTTTTTCTACTTTTAAAGTAGAACTTATCACATAAAAAATATTAATGAAAAAGAAATAAACAGGATTATGTAAAAAGAAAAATGAGTGAAAATGATCTATGAATAGTTGAGTGTTTACTTTTCAAAATGTTTTTAATATCAACTAAGTTACTAGGTTTTTCGTATTCGAATGAATAAGCAAAAAAATCTAAATTATCGCGCGGATATTCATCGGAAAAGAATTGCATGTTACTATCTGTTTTTGGAACCGATTAAAACTATGTATAAAAATTGAAAACCGAATTAAAGTCAGAGTTTTAAGAAAGCATTAATGAAATTTTAATAAGTATTGGATCAACTTCTCGCCAGATGGCGATGGATTTTGGTCACCAGATGACGGTACAGAACTGTACGCATCAGAACTGGCAACATAATACTTTATAATCAGATCTGATAACACCATAATTAAAAACAAGTATTCCGGCTTATTTCATTGCGGTGTTGCCTGATCTGATTACAGCTCTAGTGCGACGTAAATGAACTACAACNAAGTCAGAGTTTTAAGAAAGCATTAATGGAATTTTAATAAGTATTGGATCAACTTCTCGCCAGATGGCAATGGATTTTGGTCACCAGATGACGGTACAGAACTGTACGCATCAGAACTGGCAACATAATACTTTATAATCAGATCTGATAACACCATAATTAAAAACAAGTATTCCGGCTTATTTCATTGCGGTGTTGCCTGATCTGATTACAGCTCTAGTGCGACGTAAATGAACTACAACTACAACAACAACAACAACAACTGATCTGATTATGCAATATTATGCTGCCAGGTCTGATTTTAATAGAGATAAGTTTTTTAGCAGTTCGGTGCTGCCATCTGGTGACCAGAGTCCATTGCCATCGGGCAAAAAAATTGATCCACTACAAAAGTATACAATCCTAAAGCGTGAAAGATTGTGATATGATAAAACATAGTATTGTATTGTATTATACTTCGGAAAAAAAGATAAAAAAAAACGTCAGAGTATTAGTTCTCGACATCACCTTTCAATCTAATTTAGAAAGTTTTAAGGAAAAAACTAAGAGTGAAAAGACTGTCATGAAACGAATCACATTTATTGAACGGAGAATTGGACAAAATCAATATTCTTAGCAATCAAGACCCTTTCCTTCGTGCTTGATGTCTCCAACTTGCTTGCCGTTTTTATCAACGCACCAGCAACTGTTGTTGTAGTCGTAGCATTGCTTAGGATTCCAACTACCGTCATCCTGGCACTGAGGAAGGTAAGGGTTTTCGTGGTCTAGAAATAAACACAAGTATTTTTATTTATTGATGTAATAGTAGACCCTTTCAATCGTGATTATAAATCGATTGAAACTCTGTATACTGCCGTGCAATAGGAAAATCGATGTAAGTGGCAAAAAAATCAAAATTAAGATTTTTAAATCTTTGGCATTTTTGAATAATTACAAAAAAATTACTTTTCGGAATTCTATTTCAATGTTCAGCAATATTAGCAATAGAAAAAAAAATAGTTATCAACCTACTTTTCGCGAAATCTATCGTGAAACACTTTGTAGTAGTATTTCAATTGTACGGCAATATAGCTCAAACATCGTAAGAAGATGATTAACCTTTGTAGAGTTCATCGAAGGAAAAGTGCCATTGTGATGAAGAATAATCACTTTAACTACAAACTTCTATAAATATTTGGCCTTCAATAGGCGTCTTGTGAGCGAACAATGATTAATTCTGTAGATGTCTTGTAAGCCCTCAATGCTCATTTAAACTAGCTGATTAAAGAAGCACATTTCTCAAATGTAAGTCTTTCGTTAGCTCCAAAAATGAAAAATTTTTGCAGATAAAAAAAATTACAAGCATACAAGTAGGTTACATACAGGGTAATCCGAAATCATCCTCTTTTCATGCATTATTCGAATTTTTGTCATAAAAGAGAAGTAATAAAATTGCATGCATTATGGATCATAAGTTAAAAGTATGAAGGAGAAAAGAAAGTTAAATCAATGACGGACGCAATACCTCTGCGAGATCATTGCGATTCATTGCACCATCGAGTCACACTTTGTTTTACAATGGTTTTAACGTTTTTTTTGTTTTTTTTTTTGTTTTTAAAATATTCATATATATTTACCATTACAGTCATGAAGACCCTTCTTTATTCAAATAATTATGTTTTGGCTTAAATTTGATATGCTACCAAACAATAAGTATTAGTTTGAATAGTTGAAATGCACAAATGCTTTTTTTATACATATAGTGCAAAGTAAATGATGTGATTTATTTCAAATTTAAGTCATAAATATTTAATTTTTTATAATCTTGTCGAAAAAGTATACATTTTATTCCCATCGCAACCGGTAGGATGGAAAAAGCGCTTACACAGGCCCGCATATCCGAGTGTATTCGTGCTAAAGAGTAAGTATGTGTGCTAGTGCTATTTGTAATGCGAGAGTTCCGTATTGAGATCACGACACTGTGATCATAGACAACTAGAATCAGAAACTGGGTTAAGGGTCGCAAACTCTTATATAAGCGGTCTGAAAAATAAAATTAGACAAATTATAATAAAAGAAGGCGAGCTTACAAAACAACAGAATATGTTTTATTCCCAGAGAACATAGAGAAAAGTTGAAAGTCAATTATTAGTATCACCTCAAAGATGCAATTTAATTTCTGTGTTTGATATCCATCATCCACCATTGTTATTCGTTAGATTTCGATTGCGTTTTTGTTTATTCTCGTTTAAATGCTAAATTTAGAGTCTTAATGTGCATATCTTTTTTGAATTATACTATAAAAATATATCTAATGGCAGTCTTTACGAAATTTTCAGTACTGTGTGACTGCAATAGATACTTTTATTTTTAAATTTTTAAATTTCACATGTTCTAGCTCAAATAGTTCAGTCTTCATAGAATTTTAATTGAATTTACTATAATTTACTAAGTTTCCGTGCAAGAAGGAGATTCAGTTGCTTTATAAAATAGCAAGTTTTACATTAAAAAACTTACTGCTGTCAATCTTGCGCTGCTTTTCCAAGAAGCATCCACATTCTTTAAGATTGGACAAGTTAGGGCTGGCAGGACGTCCATCTTTAGTATAGCAGACGCAGAAAGTGCTGTCCTTGTAGCACTGCAGTTCCTCGTAGTCACCATTTTCTTTGCACTTAGGAATAAGCTTCATAATAGTTTCATGCTTTAGAGCTTCCTCTCGGCGCTTCTCACATTCGCTTTGAGCTATGAAAAAAAGGGATTCAACCAAGGAAATAAAATTACCTCAACCAGTCAGTTTTCTATATCGCTTCAGTAAAATAATTTTCAAGAAAATTGGAAACCTATAAGCGACATCGTAGGTAAATCGTGGCATAAAACCCAATAAGGTTCCACACGCGCGTGACGTCTCTTTCAGGCATCCAATTATGTCTGATTTAAATCACATCGTTAGGCCTAATCACCTATTCTTCTTCTCGAGTTGCTATGTAGTACCCAATTGTGAAAAACTCCTTTTCAAATCCTAGTTGTGCTCGTGGCAAAAGCTTTTTTTGCACAATGTGCTACGGAATTCGGTCATCAAATTCAGAGGGAGGATAAAAGGTTGCAAGAGAAAACTTGCCATGAACGTGATTTGTGACCGACCGTTCTAAGCTGAGCTTTATCTTCGTCTTGATGTGCTTTATAATGCCTCTGAATTTGACGACCGAATTTTGTTGTTGTTCATTTACGTCGCACTATAGCTGCACAATGGGCTATTGGCGATGGTTTGGGAAACATCCTTGAGGATGATCCGAAGACATGCCATCGCAATTTTGATCCTCTGCGGAGGGGATGGCAGCCCCGCCTCCCGCTCTGCAGAGGATGGTAGCCCGACGACCTGCACGCGAAGTCGAGCACTTTACTGTAGAACACAGTTTAACGAGGACCCATACCGCACACCCTCGGTCCCTACGCAGGCTGATCCAAGTGGTCACCCACCCGCACACTAACCGCAGCCAGTGATGACTGACTTCGGTGATCTGCTGGGAACCGTGTCTTAACGATCAGTCCACTGCGGGACGACCGAATTTTGGAACATCCTGCATGCTTTTCAACATTAAAAAAGAGTACAAAAAATTTTGCCGTTACATATCAGAGATCTCGTGAATTTAGAATTCAAATTAAACGAGTGTTAATTTATATACTACTGTCGGTGGATAAAGAACGAGTACATTTTTCTTAAAAATAATTTTTGATCACTTTTTCATAAAATCTAATAATCTCTAAATGGATACATCTTATGAAAAGATTTAAATGAAAGAGAAAAGTTATGAATCGAGTTTGGAAGAATTTCGTTTATATCTGAAAATAGGGTGCAATGCGTTTATCTGACGTAATGAAACCACATATACCTAATGAGTGGATTAATTATTTCGTTAGTCTAGTTTGAATAATTTTGCCGAAGAGAAGAATTAGTGTTTTTTGGATAGATAATATCTACAAATATTTCTCTTATTTGGCACCATACACTCTGGTATTTCTCTATCTATCTGTAACACTATGGTTATTTATTTTGCTTGGCTGTCTTAAGAAATTATTTTTGTAATGTTTAAAAAATTAGTCATGCGTTAAGTATTTATTTAGTTGCATTTGTTAGGTTGCCTTAAATAATTATTTTGTTAATAATAAAAAATTAGTTATGCGTTAAGTATTTATTTAGTTGTATCCTGTTAAATTGTCTTAAGTAATAATGAAAGTAGTGTTGAATAGTTGAGAATTATTTAGAATACGTTAATTATTTATTTAGAATGATTTTGCATTTCAATGGAATTAAAAACTTAGCTACGAAGTAATTATTTATATTTTTCTCTGAACCTTTCTAAAACAGCTCTAGAAATAGAAAACATAAATTGTGCAATGGCGGCACATTCTGCCATACTAATTATTTGTGACAGAAATAGTTAAAAAAGAAATCAAATTATATCCACCCGGGCAACAGTTAGACGGAGAAAAAATGTCATTACTATATAGTTTAAAACTAATTAAGCTATTGGGATTGGAGAAGGAGTTGAAGAATTCGAATACAGTTGTGCTGTGTATTCGGTTTGGCTATCATTAAAACTTATAAGTTGTACAAGATAGTTTTAATAGGCGATAGTTAAGAAATATTTTTTGATGTAAACAGAACCTTGCAACATATTATGGATAGATATTTTCATTAAAACTGCGACTACTTACATCTAGCCAAAGCAGCACAAACTACCATCGAGGCAACCTATGTATAAAGTAATTGAAATTAAATTAATTCCAAAATTTTACATAAAAATTGTTTAGAATTATTAAAATTATTACTTTTCTTGAGAAAATAGATTAGATAATCTAGATTTTACAATATAATAATTGCACACATAAAATACGACTATATTATATGTAGAACGCTTTGAGAAATAGTAATTTATAATCAAATTTACTTTAAAACTACAGTCTGCATGCTGCATTATTTAAGAACATTTGCTTTTTCAGAACTATTCGTAATATGTTTACTTAAATTGTATAAGAGACATTGCTAGATAGTTCTAGAACGATTCTAAATAAGTTATTCACAAAAGTGATTTGAAGTAAATTTTAGAGTTGTTAAAAAACTTTGAACTTAACCCTAGTAAACACATATATATAGAATTTAAGCAAAATATTGAAGTGCTTTTACTGAAATATAAAACAACGATTCGCTTTTAAACCTAATAACAGTTTTATTCTACAACTAACAATAGCTTTTAAGATTATAATTTCTTATAGCTGTGTAATATAAAAGCAATATAATTTTAAAATCAAATAAAAAATCAACTTGATAAGAATATTATTCGCTACAATTATTATATTCAATAGGAATATTACAACTTAACTAGAATATTCTAGTTTATTCGTATATTATTGCCCTATAAGAATGCTGCTGGCTTATAAAAATTTTAAAGTATCTTAAGAACAATAAGAATATTTCAATTAAATCTATTACTGCAACCAATAAGAATATTAAGCCTAATCAGAAATCAGCAGAGCCAGTAATATGTGTTATTAGAATAATATACTTACAGCTATCAAAAGAGCGTATTTCATATTGGATGCAGGAGATTTTGCCACGTTCCTAAAATTAGACAGGGAGATGAAATATTAAATGCACATGAATTAATTTTTCAAAAATAATAACTATAAGTTGTGGTTAATTAATTATTGAAATATAAATTATAAATTAATGAAAATCATTATTGATAAAAAGTTTTAAAACATATTAAATTGGGTTAAATGAATTTGAAATTCAAAGTTCTTAAGTTTTTTTTAAAGTTTTAGTAACTATATTTGCAATACTAATTCCTTTATCGTGCTTATATTTTGAGCTGATCTTTAGTTTTCAAGATTTAAATAAAATTTAATACATTTTAATACATTAGGTAGAATTTAATTCATACATTAGGTAGATTACAATACAAAATTTAATACATTAGGTAGAATATTTATTTACGAATGATTTTGAAAATTTTAAATATCTTTAAAGAATTTTAATATTTAATTTTATGTAACTATAAACTGTATCTGAAAAAATAGTGTCGTTTTCTATTTTATTTCTGTATTTTTCTTTAATCTTATTTAATCTAATATTACTAAATTTTTAAAAAAATCATGTTATGAGATTTTATTTACTTATTTATTTATTTATTTGTTCTTATTTTAATTCAGAAAATTTAGAATTTAAATTTTTCTTAAATATGAATTTTTTAAACTAAAAATTTTTTCCGAAATTTAAAAAATATTTTAAATTTTTTTCATATTTTTGAGTGATATATTTAAATATTTAAAGCACTAATTTAATAATTGTAAATTCCAAACTTGAGATTGTTTTCGAAATAGAAATTATAAAATTAAAATTCTGCAACATGGTGCATAATTTTTATTTTTAAAAGCATATTTAATTTTTGTCATTGTATTGTATAGAAAATAACACATTTATGTTTTATTTATATTAAACTTTTTTGAAGTTTTGAAAAATTTTGATTGGTAATTTTAGTTTTCATTATACAATTATTTAGATACTATTTAGCAACTTTACTTTGTAAAATATTATTATGTAAAATAGTAAACTACCATGCAATATAAAATATTAATACATGAAATAAATTATTTAATTAAAATAATGTTTTGCAAATATATAACAAATATCAAATTCACTCACCCTTCAGAAGTTAGGAATAATGGTGTCGTGAATTAACCCTTTGTGAATATATAATCAGTTATAACATTTGTTAGAATTCCCACGCCAAGTGAATTCTCAGAACAAACGCCAAGACGATAAAATTACCATGGAAAAAAAACTAATATTACTACTATAAGTTAAACAGATGTCCAGGCATTTTTGTTTTGAAATCAGGTACTATCTTCAAACTTCAAATATGTTTCAAAACGCATTTAAAGTTTGATATGAAGTTTGATACACAGTTGAATGATATAAAGTTTGTGATTATGAAACAATAGATTGCAAGTATTTGAAACTATTTATGTTTAATGTCTTTTCAACCTTTCAAACAAAAGAAGAATTATCTGCAAAAAATTTAATATGTTTAAATGAATCCTCAATGTAGCTTTTATATTTTCTAAATTTTGGAACTATTTTTGTTTAGTGTAAAAAAATTCCAAAGAGTTTATCTCTGAGAAAAACTTTTGCCATAAAAAATAAGCAAAAAATGCTAAAACCATTTTTTTAAATTTCTTTCCGATAGCAGAGGGTGACAGTGTAACAATAAAGAAAACGAAAGGAAGGTTTAAAAAAAAGGAAAAGTTATTTCCTCATTATTTATCTCTTCTCTTCCAAATAGAGAGATTTTGCAAAGCGTTACTGTTTCCTCTAACGTCAACACTACCTGAACTACACAGAGCATGCGTGAAAATTTCCCTACAAATCACCGTGTCGCTAAAGTGCAGAACATAAGGCTTGTGTTAAGGTTAACGTTAGACAAACTCTATGTAATTCTCGCTCTAATGTTTGTCATTGATTGAAATTACAAAAAACATAGAGTTATTGTTGAGAATGTGGTGGCCATCTATAGGAAAAAGGAAACAATAATAAGAACACAATGGCTCATACGCCAGGTCAGTGAGGAGTATTTGCATGGCTAAACTGTGTAGTTCTGTGAATATTCGAAACTATGCCAACTGGCGTGGTCAGTCTGAGATGATGTTTTGTTGAAGAATTTTCCAGCTCTTGTCAGAAGAAATTGTCATTGACTCTGTATGAAATTTTGTAGAAACTTTCTTTTTATAATTCGTTTTTGCGTTTTGAAGCAAATGGGAAACCGGTGTCCTTTTTAGTATATTTTTTACTGGCGCTCTTAGATCTGAATAACCGCAAATAAGTGCGAATTTGAAAGAAATATGGCTAGGATTTGAGCCGTGTTTGAAAGATTTCACCTTTAACTCAGAAAAAGAAACCAGTGTTCCATGCTGTATTTCGTTGCTTGAAATGCTACATATAATATTTTCCCTTTATTTTGACCTAAACTAATGCAAAATAATGAAAAAAATGTGAGAATATGTCTCATAAAAGTTCTGCAACAAAGGGTAAATGCTGAAAAGAGGCCGGGGTTATTGTGGATTTGTTGCATATAACTTTCAGGTTGATTCGTATGCACTCTAAATTCCCATAATTCCATAGCGGCTTAGAGTCCACTGGAAGGCGACACTTTTACCTTAATGATGCAATTTACAGATAGAGTTTCGACATTTTAAGTTATCACCACAGGCTATCTAAAAATTCAATTTAACACAGAGTAGCTTTTATGTCAGAAAGAATAACAAAATTTGCTAATGTATCAAGAAAATGGGACAATATTTACCTCATTTTATAACAGACGAATTTTGTATATGTTACTTGGGCAATTATTTTGAGAAGGTTCGCAAACAACCGGACAGTTCGTATGTTGGAAACCACCTGCCGGACACATTTAAGGGTTGAGAAAAATGGGATCCTACGCACGTCATTTTATAAAGATGAACAAAACTAATGAGGCGAACTTTTCGATTTTTCTCCTGGAAAACGTTCATTCTTTTGTAATTAAAATGAATAAAAACTAAAGAAAAAAACATTAATAATTTTCATAAAATACTTCAGTTTTCTTTTCAATCGGAAAAGTATATTTTCAACTAAATAAGTAAAAAAATTGAAGAGGAGATATTGATTAAAATGAAATTGAAATGAAATAATAAAGAATTATTTAATAATGTAAACTAAAATACGTTTTTCATTACAGTCTGAATTGTGACTTATTTGCTTGAAAAAGAAAATAGTGTAATTTAAAATTAATGATTAAATGTTTTAATATTTAACCTAGCACTTTATATCTCAAAACTTCGTTTTGCAAATGAAAATACTAATACATTGGAATACATCATTTTGAGCAAGCAAAAATAATAAAAAGATTATTATAAAATTAAAAATTTGTTGAAAGATGGGTTTATTGCATTTCCACAACATTATGCAAAATGTCAAAAATTAAATGTTGCATCTTTGCAACATTTTGAAAATTGACACTAAGATATCAGTATTCAAAAGAGATGTTGCAAGAGTCTGTGAAGGCTATACTGACATCACGTCCCAAGGGCGGAAACTTTTTCTTCGCAAGTACGTGCAGGCAGGTAAAAATGGTTGGCTATTTTAATCATGGTAACAGGTGACAAAGGTGCACAAAATGGGATCCTACCTATGTCGTTTTATAAAAGCTGAATTCTCTATATGCTATTTGGTTAAATAGTTTAAGATCGTTTTCCAAGTAGCCAGACAGTTCGTATGATGTAAACCTCCTACAGAATACCTTAAAAGGTTAAGAGAATGGGATCCTACTTACGTCAGTTTATAAAAGCTGAATTATGCATATGTTACTTGGGAAACTATTTTAAGATCGTTCCCAAGTGTCCCCATTCGCATGATGGAAATGCAGGACACCCTTAAAGATTAAGAAATTAGGACAATACTTATGCCATTTCATAAAAGATTGGGAAATATATTAAAATAGTTGCCCAAATGATATATACGAAATTTAACATTTTTAAAATAAAGTAAGTAGGGTCCTAGTTTGTGCATCTTGACCACCTGTTACCTGCTTGAACAAGTCTATGTTAATGATAGCCAGCCTTTCTTTTTTGCCTGTACTTGCATAGAAAAAAAAATTCCAGCCTTTATTGATGATAAAGATTGATATTGATTGATTGATATGGATGATATTGATGATTGTGATGATAAAGATTATCTCAAATATAGATGAATTAAGTATTTCTTACTATATCACCAACTGACTGAGATTTTTAATTTTTATTTTTCCTTTTTATGTGAGACAAAATCGGATTAGCTACAATCAAAAGTACACTCCGTGAAAATGAGTTTGTCCCACAACTTCACTCGGGAGTTACATTACATATTCCTTTGAGTTAAAAAAATTTTAATTAATAAGAAAATTTTTATTATAACAAATTCATTACCCTAACAGCGGCAAGTGTTAAGTAACTCGAATAATATTTATTTTCAAAGAAAATTTCTGTTTTGTTGCGAGAAATAAGATTGGTTGCGTATCAATGGCGGTTGTTGGTGAGCATTTATGAGGAATTTCAACATTAAACGGCAGATTTTTATCAAAATGCTTTGTATTTTCAGATAAGTGAAATTTCATGTAAAAATTCAACAAAGGCCTAGAAAGTGTATCCTAAATTATGTTCGTAAGAAATTTGTAAAATGGAATAAAGCTTGTTAAGGCTTTACAAGAAGCCTTTCATATGCTTTTTTCCTTTGCATGAATTAGTATCAGAGTCATTTGGTCTCATACCCTATATCAGGGGTGGCGAACCTTTATACACCAACGTGCCATTTTTTCTAAAAAATTGTTTAATGATGTCATAGACGTGCCGTCAAATAATTTTGACTTCGTGATTATTGGGAAAATAATAATACTAAATACTATCTGCTCAAAACTCTCTATTTACATCGAAAAAAAAAACATTTTGCAATGTCTCAGTTATAGGCGTAATTCAACTTAAAGTAACATCAGTGTGACTTCTGTTGCTGCAGATTAGATGACAAATAACTTATATTAGGTTGTAAGATGTTAGTTTAAGCAAGACTGTTAATTTTTTTTGCTAGTTACTTATTGTTAACTTGTTTTCTATGGTTATTAATTGTTTTTTTAGCATTAATTGTTAATTTTTTTTATTAATAGTTGTTTATTATTTTGTTTGTTTTTGTGAATTTTAATTTAACTGTTACATATGCTTCATAATGTAATAACATTTGTGTAATAACAATTCATAGTGCAATAACAATTGCGATCGGTATGGTGCCCAAATTATTGTGTCACGTGCCATAAATGGCACGCGTGCCATTGGTTCGCCATCCCTTCCCTATATAGTTCGATGATCCCTTTTTTAATTACTTTTAAAGCTTGCATCTGAAACGAAAGTCGCTTCTAGCACTGGTATATTGAAGTAATATATGGAGTTTTCAGTTAGTCTATAAGATCTAAGCTCTTTGTAGCGTCTGGATGATTTTATGATTTTAGATTATTATAGGAGGATTTTATGGAGATTCTACCAGAGTTGTGAAGGTTACGCTGAAATACCGCACTACACACTTTATTAACACTGCGCATCGCTGTATACCTAGAAAGACTGATAGGGTCCAGTATGGCCCCTTCCCAAATAGTTTGTCTGTAGATCAATTATATGTCCAAATTATATATCCAACAAAATATAATCATAATTAATTTGACAAAAACATATAGACTTGATCAATGAAATTCTATGGTATTTTATTCAATTTTGATTAAACGGAAAACAAATTTTTCGGTTATACGTATACGCTAGCTTCTTTGTTAATTATGTTTCCTTTTCGCTGCGATTAATAATTATAGATATATTAAAATATTCTTTCTTCTTAAGAGTCGGAAGCTAGGGAACCGTAAAAATACTTAAGAATATCTAACACCGAAAACTGCCTAGGGTTAAGGGATACATACTAATATGCCTAAGGGGCCGATATGCTTCTTAGGATTAGATATTTTGGTCCATCTTGGAATTCGTTCTCTACAAATTTATTCAATTTAAATTTTAGTGTATTAGTGTAATAAAATAAAAAGTGGGTTCAAGTAATATAACTTAAGGGCTGTCATAAACTGAAAGCATTACTGTAATAAATAAAAAAATAAATTGGATAGCCTGACTAGCATAGTTTTATTTGTAATTTCATAATGATATAGACTTTTGTAATTTCAAAAGAGTGGATCCTAATAATCCGGATTTATGGTATCTTCTGAAAACACAGAGTTGTCAGGGATTTTCTTGTCATTTATACTCATTGTAAATAAGCTCCATTAGATTATGTGATTTTCCTACACTCCTAATTTTTCTCTTCTCCGTTGCCATGGTTTGGCAAATCTTGTATTTTCCTCCACGATAGTACGTTTCAGTAAGAAATTGGAATAGACAGGTGTGGATAAAAAAACAAGATATTCCATAACAATGACAACGAACAGGGTTCTATGTGGAGAGTGGGGAAATTACATAACCTTGAGACGGTTGGCCTTTTTACAGTGGTTGGCACAGCAGCATAGATGGAATTTTGAAAATGAGATTAACCAGGTCTTCATAAACAGTTTGTTAAGATTTTATTAATCAGATAATTGGACAAAATTGATTTTCTTAGCAGTCAAGACCCTTTCCTTCGTGCTTGATGTCTCCGACTTGTTTGCCGTTCTTGTCAACACACCAGCAACTGTTGTTGAAGTCCCAGCATTGTTTTGGTGTCCAGCTACCGTTATTTTCACACTGAGGAATGAAAGCGTTGTCGTGGTCTAAAATTAAAATGACATAAGAAGTTTAATTTTTTGGTGAAGTTAATGTCCTTTAACCTCAAGTGACCTGAGTTTTGAACTGCAGGAAATGGGATATTCACTCAGAAATGTGTAGCTTAGAAGAAAGTAAATTCATAAATGAGATAAAATGCTTGAAAAATTCAATTCTTATTTTCTGTATTTAGTTTTTTTTAATTGCTACATGAACAATAAATTTTAATTTTTAGCAATTTTTGCATAATGTAGGATTTTTTTCACATTAAACAAAATCCACTTGGACTGAAATAATAATATATGCCACAAAACTGAAATAAAAATATACTTTAATCGGATTTCTCTCCCTTTTTTATAATTTTTTAATAAGAAACTCCAATCGAAGAGACACCACATTAGGTGGGCACCACATTAGGTGGGCCAACGTCACTCTCACAGTGAGGACAGATAGGACAGAGAAGGAAAGAACATCAATGCCTTGCCTGGCATTCGAACCCAGAACCTTTCTGATGCAAGGACAGTTCCCTGCCCCCTACACATGCCGGTCGGCTAATTTTTTTTATATTAATAACCATTATCTCTCCAAACAGCAATAATACTGCTAGGCGTCATTTTCATAGATCTACTTTTTCTTGAAAAGATAAAATAACTTGTAGAAAGAATATTTCATTTCTATTTTTTTTTTCGGAAAACATTAACTTTCTGTGATACCAGTTGTGATACCAGTTTGAAAACCACAACTGTCTGCTCATCATAATTCATCATAAAACCACAACTCTTCAAAAAATAGCCAATAGAAGAATACGTAATCGTAAATTTTCATGACGAGCTTTGTTTTTAAATAAAATTTTTTGAAATTTTCGTTTGTCACAAGTTATTTCGCATAAGAACACGTACCCCCGCTAAACTGTTCCCGTACCCCTGAGGGTACGCGTACCACACTTTGGGAAACACTGATGGAAATACCGAGGAAATGTATGTGGCATGAAATGTGGAAGTGGCACTGAACTAGACCAAGTATATATTTCGGACATTTACCAAAGCGACTATGTGACAGTCAACATTTACCGGTCGAAGTCAACAAACACAGATTTCGGTCATTAACAGTAACATATACACATTAAAAGTGAGCTTTGGCTCATTTTTGAAAACTGGGGTCTAACAAGAATTTCGCAAACCTTAGAAATGGCTTGAGGGTATTTAGTGATCAGTCACAATATTTTCAGAGTTTGCATTTTTACAGTCATTTTTTCCCTACTAATGTTTCCTAATCGGCACTTTATAGGCATTCGGAATTTCCACTAGCTTATTGTGCAGAAAAACAAGTTAATCAAATAGGGTTTCGTATGTTTGAAGGAAGTAAGAAAGCATGTAAAATTTTAATCAGAGTCTAAAAGTTTCTTTCAGCAAACGAGTCTGAGTCCATGTCAGGTTCAGGATGAGGCGATCTTGTCTCTATTATCCTAGCTATAGCTTTTTGGTTAAGATTCTTTGTAGTGGTACCGATATAACAGTTGGTTTTAAAAGCAGGTATGTTATAACTAAGGCCCGGATTTTTATGACATTTGCATTTTTTTCATTTTTGGACATTTTTTGACCTTTAGAGCATTTTTTGAGATTTATAGAGCATTTTCTTTAAATTTTGTGGCGTATTTTGCATTTTAAAGCATTTTTTAAATTTTTTGTTAATTTTTTTCTAATTTTTATTATTTTTTATAATTACACTGGCATCCAAACAATGAAGAAAATCTTTAGGATATTAAAAGGTGAAGCAACATCTTTTCAAATTGAAGAAGAATTGTCAGTAAGTGTAACCGTCCTTTAGTACGCACCAATAACATCAGTAGACGTTGAAACAAGCTTCTCCTGGTATAAAAATTTGCTTTCAGACAAGAGACGCTCGTTTACATTTTAAAATATTGAAAAAAATTTAATAATCCACTGTAATTCTGATATTTAGTAATATTATGAGATGGAAGTTGTTATATTCATTTAATTTTCTATACAAAATGAAAATGTTTTGGAGTCAATATATTTTCCTTTTTTGTGTTATTTTAGGATATAAAACATATTTTTCAAACTTTAATGAACGTAGAAGAAGTATTGCATTGCTTTATATTTTTTGAAACGACTCATAATAATTTTAAAGAGTAAAACATTGTTTTAGTTCAATATTTTTACTTCTATTTAAGTCATGTCATAAGGCATTTTTTAGCGCAATTTTCGCATTTTAAGGGCATTTTTTGCAGTTAAGGGCATTTTTTGCACTTTTTAAGGGCATTAATTGAGATTTTTTAGGTCATCAAAATCCGGGCTCTAGTTACAACTATGCAGTCATTTAAGATTTTTTTAAGATTTTTTTTTATGAATTATGAATGTTTATTTAAATTATTTATGCATAGTGGTGGTCAAAATGATAGTTAAAAACACTTTGTCAAACAGTGATAAAGATATCTAGCGAAAATCAAAAGATTCGGCAGCTAATTAGCATGTAGATTAAAAATTAACCATATTGAAATAATAGCTTACTGCTGTCAATCTTGCGCTTCCTTTCCAAGAAGCATCCACACTCCGTGAGCTTGGACAAAATTGGACTAGCAGGATGTCCTTTTTTGTCGTAGCAGACGCAGAACTTGCTGTCTTTGTAGCATTGCAGTTCCTCGTAGTCACCATTATCTTTGCACTTAGGGATGAGCTTCATGATGGTCTCATGCTTCAGAGCTTCCTCTCGGCGCTTCTCACATTCGCTTTGACCTTAAAAAAAATAGAACAATAATCACAATGGCACATAAAATAATATTAAAACATAAATAAAGTGTAAGGCTTGCCATTTTTTAGTATTATCCCTTATTTGGCTATATTTGTGTAAAATAGTACCATTTGATATTGTTTGTTTTGCATCATAGCATGCTTGCGAAGTCTTCCGAATTCCTTTGTTGCTTATTTCATTGAAATTTAAATTGAAAGAACGCATTATATTGTAAATACTATTAGTATAACAATATTAGATGGAGCTCTTTTTCAAGTTTAGGCGTGAAAAGAAGTCGAAAGTAGTATCCCGGAAGTCTTATGATGAATTTTAACCCCTAGCGCCATCTGAGCTTAGCTTTACACAGTCAACCATCCATTAACAGTTTTCCTGTATAGGCCAGCAATATTCGAAAATAAAAGTCAAATGAAGAATTTGATTGATAAATATTTTCGTTAATGCAAACTTTAAAAGAAATTGAAAATTAATATATGTTTTTACGTAAAGTTTAATTGCTTAATGCATTAGAAAGTATTTTCTTAGAATTAAAACAAGGACTACATACCTCTAGCCAAAGCAGCACAAACAACCACTGAGGCTACCTGTAAAACAATTATGTAAAATTAGTGATTATGTTTCAATAAAATAGTTTTTTATTTATTTTTATTTTGGAGTGTGTTTCGCACAGAAATCTATGAATATATTATGCTTATTTGAAATAATTCATGAATATAAGAATATATTTGAAATAAATTATGAATTATATTATGAATATAATTTATGAATATACTCGAAAAATCATGAATATGCAAGGCATTTGCAAAATAATTTCTGAATATACGAAGAGTGCTCGAAAACGAGAATGTGATTAAGTGTAACTTGAAATCTTCATTTTTTAATGTATATTTTGTGATGCAGAATTAAAATATTTTATATATAATATAATAAATTTTAAGGATATTCAAATGGTTTTAAGTAGTTCATATTTTAGTTGCAACAAATGTGAATGTTTAAACATTCATAATACTAACACGAAGTTGAACCATGTTTAGGTTGTGGTAAATTTAAATGTTTAATACAGCCCGAAATTGAGCCATATTTAGGTTGTAGGAAATTTAAATGTTTAATACAGCCCGAAGTTGAACCAAGTTTAGGTTGCGGAGAACTTAAATGCTGTCGTGGTTTAACATGCACCGAAATTCTCAATTATGTAGGTACGGAGGAAAGATGCGCAACTTCAAGAACATAATTTTTAATTAAAATATTTTGCAAATTTAAAACTCTAATACTTTGACCATCAGAATAATAAAACCGAGGTCATGGTCATATCTAATAGAACAAAATTTATTAAAATGATTTATCTAGAATATAATTAAAAACAAGTTTTAGCTTTTTAAATGATTATTGACTGTTGAATTAAAAAGTTCTTAATGTGAAAAATTAAACAAACAGCAGAAAAACAAAGACTTGATTTAAAATTCAGTTCTATCGGTGCACGCCAGACTAAAATTTTTGCTCGCTACTATTTTCATGAAAAATATGAACAAGTTTTAAAATGTTAACAGATGAATAATATAAAAAAAAACTTTTGGTGTCTAAAACCATTAAAGAATGTAGAAACTGAAAAATAGTAAAACATTTATTGCAAAGTAAGAATAATATTAACTTTAAACGAGGCGTTCCTATGGTTTCGATGGTTTCAATGTCTTCCACATGTCATAAGAAATTGTCTAACTTATATTCTCAGACTCTGTAATTCTTAAGTCCAACTCTGTTGCACTAGAATATCTAGAAACTCAGTTACTTAGTGCGTAGCCCTATATATCCAGTCGTCAGTTAACAAATTATAACATTTGTTAACTACGATAACATTTGTTAACTACGAGTTAACAAATGGTAACTTAACCTCTGGTACTAGGACATATTATTTTATAACTGTACTAAAATATAATAAATTAAACACTAAAAAAAACTAATGTCAATATGATAAACATAAAATATTTAAATTCACTTAAAAAATTTATACTTACAGCAATTAAGAGAAAAAGTTTTGCCATGCTGGGTATTTGGGATTCCTACAAATATTTAGAGAAATGAATATAATATCTATAAATATGTTTGAAATAAATATTTAGTATAGAAAAGCTTATAAAAAATGGCAAACATTTCATAACAATGGAAAACTAGAAATCCAATCTTTAGGTTCAAATTCATTAAGGTTTTAATTTTTCCGTATATTTTTTATATTACTGAAAGGCAAGGGTTAAGAGGACATATCTTAAATTTGCTTAGAAATCAATGCACGTCATATATAAAGCTTATAATTCAGACAAAAAGTGCAACTTGACGTAACCCTTTATTTATGGATTTATCTTTATGGATATATCACATAACTTATCCATAAACATATCCTTTCTTGTCCCCTAAAAAATCTAAAGTATCTCCAATTCGGAAAATTAAATATGATTTAAATAGTTTGGTCAAAGGAGAGGTTGAAAGTTCATAAGAATTTTGCATTTTGAGTATTTCACTGTATTACTGAACTCTTTAAGGAAATCGGACATTGTTTGTACATAATTATAAAACTCATTTACCCGAAGTAAATTACGAGAGTAAAAAGTAATCAAACTATTCATTATTTTTAAACATATAGGAATATGTTTGAATGATAAGATAAACACTTTTACATCATTTTATTAAACTCAATTATAACAGAAAAAAATCTAATTTTTTAAACTAAATTGATTCCTCAATCCTCATGAAATAAAAGTTTAAAACATGGCTTTTTTAAAAAATTTTTGGGTCAAAAACTATTCAAAAAAATATTAGTCTAATTTTGAATTTTGTTAAAATTATATTTTTAAGAAGGATTAATTTTTTTCTCACAATTTAATTTTTTTCAAATATATATATATAAAAATGAATGTCTATCTGTCCGCCTGTCTCTTTGTGGGTCCTTTATAGACTCCTAAACCATCCGACCGAAAGTGATAAAATTTGGCATACAGACAGTTCGAAGCACGGGGAAGGTCACTGTCGACGTTAGAAGATTTTACGATGAACCGTTTGAGCTGGATAAGCGAAAATTTCTGATTGTTAAGATTTGGTTAAGACTGGTTAAGATTTTGGTATTGTTTTAAATTAAATTATAGTCGATTCAATGTTTCACTAATTTTAAAGATAACACCATTGATATTTGATACCTTATATCTCTATTTGATTAAAAAACCACTTATTGCAAGTACTTATTTTTTTATTTACAATGTCAGATAAATTCCATGAACGATATAAAGTGGTAGCATTCGTGAATTAGGTCACCAAATGGGATAACTGCAAGTGACGTAATGTTAGTATCTCGATCCTGATTGGTTGCTAAAACATGGCATTTGTTTACGTTAGTAACTGTTTTTACCATTTCTATTTCAAGTAAGCCAAGCCCGTCGAGTATCAAGTTTCTGTAAGTGATATAATTTATATTTTTTCACAACGATTTCATTTCTTTCGTCCCATATTTCTTATTTAACACAAATACAAGCACGAAGTCATGTAGAACGTAAACAAACTAATTATGCATCGAAGTTGTCGGTTACAAAATATTTTGTAACCGATTTATTAGAAGGCAGGAACAATAATTCTTCGTCTTATTTTATTTACAACTGCCTAATTTGAAAATAAAAATTATGCGAGCATAATTTTTACTCATAATCATAGCATACTCATAATCATACTCATAATCATAGCATTTACTCATAATCATAGCGAGCATAATTTTAATCATACTAAAAAGTAACGCGGATTAGTTACGTTAGGATAAAAGTGAAAGCAAAAACGATTCTGTTTCATTAAATATACCTATATTGATATATTGATGCAAACACTTTACGTTTCTTTCACTGATTCATATATACTTGTAAGAAATGTCACTTTCCTGGTTCTTTCACTGAGCTGTTCAATTGTGTCGGTATATGCTTTTCAGTTCTGTGCGTGATTTCGTAGCGTTGCTCAATATTGACCAATTAATTTTTTTTATTCCTACCCCACCCTGTACGAAGAACGGGTATTCAGCTAGTATATAATAAAAATGACGAATAATTATTAAGAATTATCATTTTCATGGAATTGTCCTTGTATAAATATCCATTACAGTGACGTTAATTTTAATAGATATAGCAAATGCGTAAAACAAAAAACTTTTATTAAGAGGCCTAAAAGTTTGACTGTTTTTATCTTCCTGACTAAATTATAGGAAAGATAGTTTCCTGATTGCAGTTATATTCCACAATTTTAATTTTTAAAATACGAAACTAAAAAATAAAAAAAAATGAGGACGCATTTTTTATTTTAATTTTAGAAGAAGTGCATTTTTGCATCGGATTTTTAAATGCAAACTTTGATCTGCTTTAATTATTTGCATATTTTTAGAAGTCCAATAAACCATTAACATATTTGGACAAAGAATTCAAATTCTTAGATTTTAAGTTGCTTAGGCTAAATAATATCAGAAGATATTATCATTTAAAACTGGCTCATTAAAAATATAATTTAGTTTTCCGCTGAAATTTTCAGCATTTTTAAATGATTTTTTCAATACTTGTATTATTATTATAGTAAAATGTAGAGAAAAAAAGAGTCCTCTTAAAATAAAATGCTTCTTAATAATTTTGTTTAATCAATTACAAGAAATAAAAATAAATTTAATGTTATTAAGGAATTAAAAGAAAACAGATTTTCTTTACATAAACTTTGTTTTGTTTTATTTTCCTTACATGAGCTTTATGTTTTTTTAATTAAATTAAAAAAAAAAACACTAATGTTTATGAAATCTTGTTTTCGATATGATGTACATTCGTGAAACATATGTTTTATTTAATTATTCATAATTTATTATGCAATTAACATTATAAATGTTGTTCAATTTTAAATAAATCAGAATGCATCGGGCACATGGTTAAAGCATTATGAGAAAGAAGTTTTACATTTTAAATCTTTTACGGGTTATGTTCACTTTTTTTAGTGTTATCAATATTAAAAAAAGTAAAAATGTTAATTAAAAACTTTTATTTAATATAAATTTCTCTGATTTTACAAAACAGTAAACTTTTTATGAGCAATTGTGAAAATTGTGCAATTGTGTTCTTCTACATTTTATTTAACCAGGAACTTTTCTTTGAAAATTAATTTTAGTTATGTAAACTTATAAGATTAATTTTCACGTTAACATATTATAAAAGTAGACATTTTTGATTTTTAGAAATTAGGGGAAAAATTTCTATTTTAAATTAAAATTAAGGTCCGATAAATTATTTTTGAAAATACACTGAGAAGTTGCAAGTGACCTAGAAAAAATCAATTTTGCAAAACAAATGCACTTTTCCTTTTTCTCCTTGTTTTAATTACGATTTTTCACTTATTATTGCAAAGATTTGAATATTTTAACTTATATCACAATCATTATTAAAGTCTTTGAAGTAAAGCCAATTCAGAAGATGAACATTATCTTAAAATTTGTCCGTAACATAAAAAAGCTTATTTCTAGTGAATTACGAGATAGTAAGGGAAAGTAAGGATTGCTTAAAAGATTCTTATAGTTGTAAAAGAAGCTCGGGAAAAAATCGAAAACTTATGTTTTAAGCTAAGATACTTTAATGAAGAATAAAAGTCATGCGGATTATGCAAACAATTATAAATTATGCTTTGTTCTCATCTTCCGCAATTTACTGGGCCCAAGGGGTCCAATAAATTACGCAAAAATGTGGAAGCTTTAGATAACAATTATCGCTTTACGAGAGTGTTCCTTTTATACATTCTTTTTCTGAAACTCTGATTACAAGCAAAATTATATTTTGGTACCTTTTAATTAAAAAAAAACAGTCTAATAGTTACCAACAAGAATCTGATTATCGGAATTATATTTGTACAAAAATATAAAATCCAAAAGAACAGTTTTAAAAAAATTCATTAAAATATTTGCAAATAGTTGATTTTGTAAATTAAACAAATTTCCAACGATGAATAACTGTTTCTATTAGATCCAAATAACTGCAAATAAGTAAAAATTCGAAAACTTATTGCTTGGAAGTGAATCGTGTTTGGAAGAAACGCAAGAAAAAAGACAGCAGTGTTTTATGTTGTATTTCATTAATATAAGTTATTAAAATGCTAAATATAATTTCACCCTTATTTCGAACTAAATTAATACAAAATAATGAAAAAAAGTATGAAAAATTTTTCAAATAAAAATTCTGAGTCAAAGGGATAAGAAAGCTTTTTAAAAATTCTTCTTAAAAAGTTTTTAATGTATTTAAATTTTTTAAAATAACATCATTGCAATACTTACTAAAACATAAAAGAAATGCTATTATATATATATTTTTTTATAAAAACTTAGTTGATAATTTAAATACTAAGCTAAGATTAACTTACCGGACTGTTCGGAGAATGGTGTCTACACCTTATCTTTTGTTAATATATATTAGTTTCAACATTTGTTCTAATTCCCACGCCAACTGAAATCTCAGAAAGATGCAGATGTGATGTAGGTCAGGATATATTAAATGTGTATTCTTATCAAGAAGTTAGAAAAAGGATTCTGATGAGTCGGTACTTTTGGTTAAGATAAACTTTAAAATATGATAAAAATGAAAGTGAATTTAGTGATAAATATTGTTACTTTTAATTGAGTTAAATGCTTGAATTATATTTTCTAAAATCTATAGCAATATGAGTTTTCTCTCTGATATGTATGTATATTGATGTACAGAGGAAACAATACTTCATTTATCTACTAGATAGCAATGTTAGATGCGTAGCTGAATTAAATACTGTACTTTTTGTACATAAAGGCATTTTAACTTATAAATAATTAGTCCTATCATCTCTTTCTAGGTTTCATACGCCTCAAAGCTAAGAAAACATTTGCAATAATACTTAATTTTTTCCAGATAGCAATGTTTAAAACTATTGCTTCATTTACCACCTTTCCCTCTTTCACCTTAGCCGACGCATGAAGTAAAGCAACTTTTTACCACATACTATTCAGAGGGTTCTTAGTTTGTTCCTGGGTAGAACTTGTATTCAGATATTCGAGCTATGACTATTTTTGTGCTATTAGTCTGGCTATTTTTGGACTATTAGTTGTTGAGAAAAACATATTTCAGAACTATAACCGGTATTTACAGCTAAGGATACAGCTAATTGCTTGAATATATATTATCAAAACACCAAGTGATCGAATTATTATTGTCAAACAAGTCAAGTGATTGAATTCTTATTGTCAAACAAGCCAAGTGTTTGAATATATGATATCTAACAAGCCAAGTGTTTGAATACATAATATCAAATAAGCAAAGTGTTTGAAAATCTAATATCAAAGAAACCAAGTGTTTCTTATCCTCTGAAATCAAACAAGCCAAGTGTTCGAACATCTAATATCAAACAAGCCAAGTGTTTGAATATTTAATACCAAACAAGGCAAATGTTTTAAAATTTAATATTAAATAAGCCAAGTGTTTGAATCACGAATATCAAACAACCCAAGTGTTTGAATATCTAATGTTAAACAAGTCAAGAGTTTGAATGTCGAGCTTGCCTTACGCAAAAAGAGAACCTCTTAAGGAAGTGAAGAAAATAAAAAAAACATGCATTAAGATACAATGTTGAGTTCTACTTTTTGGTTAGTTAAAATTATTAAATTTTGATTATGAATTAAATTTTTGAACTCTTGAACGCGCATTGTAATTATATTTCCGCAGATTATACAAACACGATTCAAATGTCATTTTGATCTTCGCATCTATACAAAACATTCTTGAAGCTTTCTTTTTATGCTTGAACAGCTTCAAATTCGTAATTTCATACATAATCCCTGAGATCATCAAATAAAATATACTTATTATGCCTTACAGTATATTTGTAGTTTTACCATTAATTGAAATGTTATTGTCAGATAACGTTTTTTTAAAATAATTTTTCACTATAGTTGAATTATGATTAGACATATTATTTGAAGAAAAAAATTGAGCCATTTCACAATAATTTACGAAAGAATGAAATGATAAAAGATGCATCAAAAGTGGAAAAAAATTAAAGCAAGAATCGTAATTTGGCTTTATTTTTGATTTTTACTCTAGATAACTTGTTTGTGATTCTATTAGCATATGATCGTAAAATAATGTAAATGTGTAAATTATGAATGGAATAGTCAAAGATGTTGTTTAGATTATCTTCAGTACAGAAAACAAATATCGTAATTTTGTCTTATTAGCTATTTTTGCACTAAACTACATCAATTCTAAAGACATGTTATTAAAATGATGCAAATGTGTCAAAGAAGAACAGTTATATAGTTCGCAGTTCAGTTGGCTTTAATATGTTGTTATATATTTTCATTCAATGCATGGAAAACAAATCCATTATAAATAAATCCATCTTTTTATTTATTTCAGAATACATTTAAAAGAAAATTTAAATGTAGTTTATTTTTCCTCTAAAGAAGCTGCTGGTTTTAACTCGTCTAGCAGTTAGGTTTTCCTCTGACTGATTTGGTGATTTGGTTTCCATCCTTATCAGCGCACCAGCAGAATCCAGTTGAACCACGACACTGTACTTGGCTGTAGCTACCATCTGCATTACACATTGGCACGAAGTTACCAATTGTGCCTGAAAACAATAAAATTGTATTTGTTATACAGTATTATTGTGCAGACAGTATCCTTTTTTTTAACACCAGTTTTTAATTCGTTTGTAAAATCTTCATATTTAAATTTCAAACTGAGGCGTGTTTTATAAAAATAACTTTTAACGGCAAGCAGGATTAACCAAGGCTCAAATGAAGTATTCTAGAATAAAGATCTTATATGATAAACTTGATAATATCTACCCTCGTTTACTAAACTTAAATCAGTATTAATCTGCAACCATAGATGTGATATGAGGCAAACTTTTTGTGTTTAGAAATAAGTTTTATATATAAATTTTATGTATATGTCACGGCGAAAGACTGAAATCGGTGGTTGTTGACTTTCACCGGAGTATGTCGACAATCACAGATATGCTTTGNATAATATTAACGAATAAATTAATATAAAATTGGATATAACAAATATTTCGGACATTTGCCAAAGCGACTATGCGATTGTTGACATTCACCGGTGAGAGTCAGAAATAAGGGTATTTAGCAAATATTTCGGACATACACGAAGCGACTACGTGAATGTTCGCATTCTTTAGATTTCGGTGTTTTACCGTAACATACATATACATTTACAGTATATGGAAACAATAAATATGTATGACGTAAATTGCCAAAAATAAGAGTTCTAACAATAGTAATTTCCCCCACAATCATCGATACAAAATATTTAAAAAAAATAAATAATGAATTTCCCGATATTTTCATAACGTTGTTCCTTAGTTTAAAACTGACACTTTCTGAAAATTTACAAAACTACGTTACAAGTCTTAACGTTTATTTCGTAACATAGTATTATAGTTTCCTTATTATTGTAAGTTTATTTTTCTCACATAATTGATTCAAGTTGGTAATTGTATTACAAAATCTTAAAATGCGCATTAAATTGACGAGTGTGGCAAAATTTACTTTTCAAGTAATTGATTCAGTTTCTTAATTATCTTATGAAACCTTTAAAAGTAAATCTTCAAAAATGGTAAATAGAGCAGTGGATATTAAGTCCAAAAAATATGTAAAAAATTTTTTTTACCTTTTGCCAATTCTTGTTTCCGTTGTACTTGGCAAGCTGTATCAGCTCCAAAAATGGTAGCGATGAAACAAGAGAGCAAAACCAAAACAATGAAGGATTTCATGCTTTGTTGTTCTGAAACAATAGTAAGTATATCTAGTTAAGTATAATCTAGTTAAGTATGCTTCCGTAAGATCTAAAAATCATTAAGGAGAAAGGTAATAGTTTTTAAAGTTGTTCTCATTCGAAAAAGATTAATGGCAAATGACAAGATTTGGTATGGTAATTGACATCACATCGCACTACAACTACACAAATGGGCTTCTGGTTGCATCTAAAGACAATATTGGCGCTTCCGAATACTTCTTTACCGAGCACAGAGATTCGTTTCGATTGGAGATTAATGAAACTGTCCATAAGTTTTATAAGCAGAAACTTCCAGAAAATACTGTTATTTCTATCACTTAAATATAGCTCGAATAACAGCGTAGTACAGCAAAACAAAAAGCCTCACCATTTCAAACGGGTCAATGATCTAGCTCAGTTCAGGACAGAATTAAAGTCACGAGCAGACCATTACCATTACTACTCTGCGAGGCACTTTCATACTGGCGACGGAACTTCGGAACTTTCGATACGATTTTAGACCATTCTTGCATAACTCCGTAAGTATTGTTCCTATCACTTTGAAATACGAAGTTTCTAGAACAATATATTTTTGCCCCAAAATGATCTTCTAGTGCTGCCAAATCGCCACGATTGTCGCCAAGTCGGCAAAAATATCGTCAAACCGAATCTTTCATAAGAAACACATCAGAGGTTATCTTCTCTCTAAATTACGTTAAAATTTCGGGACACTCTTGCAAATTTTCTAATTTTAACGGTTTTTAGTGTCAGTCTGAGATATTTAGCCTAATATCTGAGCCTAGAGGTAGGTAGCAATTACAAGCACCTCTCTCCCTATCCGGGACTGGAATTTTCCAGCTTTGGAACATTACAGTGAGTAGATTATGAACCATTTAATCAAGATTGAAGAAAGCGAAATATAATTAGATATTCAGTATTCAGTATGGCGAATTGAACCCCGAACTAAACCGTAGTAGGTGAATTCTACCCACCGCACCAATTGGTCAGTAATAGTGTCAAGAACAGGATAGTTTGTAAAAGCCTTCGCTAGGTAATCCCTTCTTTTGTACGCATATTTATATAATTTAATGTTTTGTTTGTGTTTTGATACATGGCTTTAAAGAAAGTATTTCATTGTGTAGGCCATGGCATATTGCAAAATTCTTACTATTAACATTTTTAAAATGAGAAATATTTCAAAAACATAATGATTGTTAGATCTTACACAAACATATTTCAAATTCATTTTTTTTCTCCCTCGTATACAAAAGTAATCAAACCTTACACTTCCTTCTTACCTCAGGATGTTTACGTAATATTTTAACGGCATAATTAATAGAAAGATCAGTATTGTTTTATAAATTTATATTTAAATTTTTTATATTTCATGTCGTTTCAAAAGATTAAAATTACTATATTAATTAAATTTTTTGACGCCGTCTCTGTTTCAGAAAATTCTTCCCGCGAAATTTTTCTCAGACTACACAAAAATCAAAGAATGAAAAATATAAGAAACTTTGTAAAAGTTTAGAGAAATGTTAAATTGTTTAAGAAAAATTCTGATAAGAAAACATTATTGACACAGGTGTTAGCTTTTGGCTTGTTTTTATGACACAGTTGAAATTTTTTAATGCGAAAAATTGAATGTAAATTATGATTTTTGACATTCTTCCAATTATAAGTTGGAAGAAGGGGGCACTTCTTTATTCAGTTTGAATTTCGATTTAATTTTTTAGTAATTAATTATTTTATTTCCATTTCGTTCAAGGGTCATTCAAAATTTTCGAGGTGAAACAAAAATTAATCGTATTAAAATTATAATTTTTTTCAGGCACGTATAGGATGTTTCAGATTTTTGGCTTAAAAATAGCGACTTCATTTCGTATTTATTTATAAAATTTATCGGTTGCTCATGGTCGTGAGAAACTGATTGGCAGGGCGCTGGACTCCCGCTCGTGAGAACGGGAGTTCGAATCCAGCCGGCCGAAGACTCCCCGTGCAGTAACTGGTTACTGGGGCACGTCGGCACAATTTGTTGTAACTGGGGCACAATTTGTCGGGTCACGAAGTTCTTCATGCTCCCATAATAAATTACACCTCCAGGGGCATTGAATTGGGGATTGATCGTTCTCTGGTTCAGGTCAAATTTAGGGTCTGTGGATGAATGAATGGATGTATGTATGGGTTCGCCCTATGAACGGGTGTGGCAGAAGTCGAATTCTTGTCTATAGATGGCGCCACTGGAAGACAAGAACAATCGCACCCCTTGCCTTAATGGCCCACGACAACAGCAACAACATCGGTTGCTCAAAGAACTTTAAAGAAGCTCATTTGCATAATCCTGTAAGGTTGACTGAAAATAATTTGTTGCTGTTGTTAAAATGCCATCACCAAATAATTTTGCTTACATTAAAAAATTATTTTAATGGGAAGATTTGATGTTATATATATATATATNGTACATGTGTGTGATACTAAAATGTCTGAACATATGCACTAGATAAAATCATATGTACATACATTTCAGTTACATTCATTTGTACGTATACAAATACGTACAAAATGCAGTACATGTTAATACGTGCAAAATGTATCATTATAAAATACATTCTACTATCTATTGTAAAATATAATCATTTATAAGAATACAATACTCTTGTAATCGTGTATTTAGATTACATGTAATCATAATTACATGTAATCAAATTACATGTAATCAAATTACATGTAATCAAATTACATGTAATCATTAGTTGTGATTACTTGTAATCACAACTAATGATTGCTTGGAACTAATGATTGCTTTGACACTAATGATTGCTTGATAATGATACTAATGACAACTAATGATTGCTTGGATTGTGATTACTTGTAATCACAACTAATGATTGCTAATGATTACTTGGAATCATGATTACAAGTAATTGATTACTGTAATCAAAATTGTAATCATGATTACAGCTATAATCAAACTTTGTAATCACGATTACAAGTAATTGATTACTGTAATCAATATTGTATTCACGATTACAGCTGTAATCAAACTTTTGAAAATTGTAATCATGATTACAAGCAATTGATTACTGTAATCAAAAAATGTAATCGATTGCATTTTTGTCCAACTTTGGTAATTACCAGCACCTCTCTCCCTATCCGGGACAGGAATTTTCCAGCTTTGAAACATTACAGTGAGTAAGTAGATTATGAACCATTTAATCAAGATTGAAGAAAGCGAAATTTAATTAGATATACAGTATTCAGTATAGGGAATTGAACCCCGAACTAAGCCGTGCTAGGTGAATTCTACCCACCACACCAATTGGTCAGCAATAGTGACAAGAACAAGATAGTTTGTAAAAGCGCCTTCGCTCGGTAATCCCTTCTTTTGTGCGCATATTTATATAATTTAATGTTTTTCATGTTTTTTGATACACGCCTATAAAGAAAGTATTTCATTATGTAGCCCATAGGATATTGCCAAATTCTAACTATTGATATTTTTAAAATGAGAAATCTCTCAAAAACAATAACTTTTTTCCCTTTAATGATTGCTAGATCTTACGTAAACATATCTCGAATTCATTCCTTTTCCTCGTATACAAAAGAAATCAAACCTTACACTTCCTTCTTACCTCAGGATGTTTACGTAATATTTTAGCTGCAGAATTAATACAATGATCAGCATTTGTTTTAAAAATTTATATTTAAATTGTTTTGTATTTCACGCCGTTTCGAAAGATTAAAATTACTATATTAATAAAATTTTCTGACGCCACCTCTGCTTCAGAAAATTTTAACAAATCATAATTTCTAATAATAACTGTACATACTACAAAATATGATAGTATAAGGAAAAAAAAACGTTAAGGGAAACGGTCTTTATGAAAAACGTTTCCCTACAATGTCGGTGTTATTTCTTATAAATCTTGTTTAATAGTAAAAAATAAAATATGTGAAAAACCTTTCATCATTTAAAGCGTTCTTTTAAAAAATAGTACAAAAACTACTTGGAAAATTGCTTGAATAATTTTAAATTTCTAAGATATCCAAATGGGACTTTTTTCATTAGTTACGAATTACAGATCACTACAAAATTATATGTTTTTTTTAAAACATTTTTACGCCCAAGCGCAGCATAAAAGAACTACTTTAAACACTCATATATTACAAAATTTTAAGAGATTTTCTTTCGAACTTTAAAATGAAAATTTTATTATCAATTGAAAAGTGCTCCAAAAATTTTGTTTAATTTTGTTGAATATTTTTAAAGCTATATCAAGAAAAAAGAAAAAAACATAAGACAGAAGAATAGTTTTTCATAAAATGTCCATATATCCTTAAATATTTAAGCTAAGTTTTCGAAATTTCATTCAAACATTGCAAATAACAGTGTAAGTTAAAAGGTTATTACGATATTTTCTGGTATAAAATGTTCAAAAATACTTGTTTCCGTTAATAATTTATTGCCAGTTAAGCTAACAGTGTTCGTCAGGTAACTTCTTAAATTTTAAAGTGCATTTAAGAAGTAGAGATTGTATCCAAATGAAGGATTTTTTGGCCTGTCATCTTTCTGTACGAAGTCTAAGATTCAAAAACCATAGTGGGTAAGAAGGAATTGTTTCTGTGGTGTCATTAAACTTTTTGCCCTTTAAATATTCAGAAATTTTTCTCAGCTTCTTTTTCTACTCTTTCACTTTTTTAAAAAAATCCTACAATGCCCAAATTACAATTTTTCAACAATATTTTGTAATTTGTACAGTTAATCGGATGAACAGATTGCTTTACTATGATTTTAGAATAAAAACTCTAACAGTGTTCGTCAGGTAACTTCTTAAATTTTAAAGTGCATTTAAGAAGTAGAGATTGTATCCAAATGAAGGATTTTTTGGCCTGTGATCTTTCTGTACGAAGTCTGAGATTCAAAAACCATAGTGGGTAAGAAGGAATTGTTTCTGTGGTGTCATTAAACTTTTTACTCTTCAAATATTTAGAAATTTTTCTCAGCTTCTTTTTCTACTTTTTCACTTTTTTTTAAAAATCCTACAATGCCCAAATCGCAATTTTTCAACAATATTTTGTAATTTATATAAACGGGACACAGAACCGCAAAAATCGTATCATTTTAAAAACTTTTTATGTCCAAAGCAGAAGGAAAATTTTTGTTTTTTTATTTGGTGCTGACATCTTTATCAAAAGAATAGATTTGATGAAATAGATTCAAAAGAGATTTTAACAACAATATTGTGAATTGCATGCATGTTTGCATAAATATTGGGTTTTCATCCAATATAATAATTTTCTGTTTTCTTCTTTTAAATCTCGCCTCGCATCTAATTTTAAAAGAAAAAAAAATTTGACACACACTTTCTACCATATTTTTTTTATTGAAATAATAATTACAAAAAGGCTTTGTTGTTCTTTGAGTTGAAGTGCATAATATTGTGAGAAAATGGTGACAAAAGCGATTTTTTTTCTAAGTTTCGCTAAAACTTATCCACGACTTCTATTTCTATAAGGTGCCCGTGGATAAAATAAGATTTTCAGTCGACTTTTGAAACAAAAATAAGTCACATTATAGTGTCTCATTGTTACATATTTTTGTACAATTTTGTAGGGTATATAATTTATTTTAAATTGTCCTACATTTCCCTCTCTGAAAAGTTTTGAAGCTAGATTTCTGTCAGAGACCTGTAAAAAAGTGTTCCAGCCACTGACAGTAAAAATAAATTTATGCCCATAAAACTATCATGAGCATAAAAAGCATTTGCTCGTAATTTTTCCTTCTCTTTGTGGTCGAAAATATCAATTTATGGTCATTTGCTGGTAAAAGTTCAGTTCGGGTCTAATCTGTCCGAACCCGTGGAATGAGGCGAGATGTCGAAGTACTGGCATTTGTTGAAGAGTAAGAGAGTTTCATTTTGTTGCCTGTGGTCACCAATTTAGAGGGAGGGAGAAAGATATATTCTTTGGTGCCGTCTGACATCGAAACTGGGAATTTAGTGTTCCTAGTCTGATGCTTTAACCACCGTGTAAATGCGTGAGCACCCGTGAATTCATTTAAGTTTATAACTGCATGAATTAACGGTCAACTCCATTAATTTTGATGAAGTTTGTCACAGTTACGGGCACTGGACATTTTTTTGTGTAAGAAGGGCGCTGGCTAAAGCTAAAATTTGTTAAAAATTACGAGTACTAGGCTTTTTTTTCTCAAGTAAGAGAGCTTACTGTATAAATAAAAGGTCAACTCTGAATTTTACGGAAATCTCTTGGGGAGCAAAACTAAGCGAAACTATTCATAAAATTTGCAAAGAAATTCCAATCAGTTTAAATAAAGAACTATATAAAATTTTTCCATTAAGAATACCGCTATCCTCTTATTGAAAAAGATAAGCTGTGCGTAATATTTATAAATTTAACATTATAATTATGTATTTTTTATTATTATTGAGTATCTGAAAATTAACTGAATTTTTAAAATATTTTTAGGAAATTTTTTTTTTTGTTGTTGTATTAAAGCTGTATTGCAAATGCAATGATGTGATGATATTTCACGTCAGCACTGTGGTCGGTGCAAGATGGATACGGAATTCCTATCGACCAGCTATTGCTTGGATGCGAACCCGGTTCACCTTATTGGGAGGCGAACGCTCTATCCCCTGAGTCATCGTGGCATATAGAAATGCTTTTATTTTTTATTATTTTTATTTTTTATATATATAACCGTCGTTGAACAGCCAACCAGTTTTTGGGTTTACGACTTCTAATGTTCAACTCCGTACCCCTGCAATTTTGAACCCAATCTAGAAGACGAGGGAACTCCTGGATCAAGTAATGGGTGAAATTTGCTAGTCATGGAGGACTTTTTGATGGAACTAACCCGACTTTGCGTTACATGGAGAGGAAAACCACGAGAACCTCCCAAGTTTAGCCTGACGGCAAGAGGACTCTAACATATGTTCCGTTTACCACTGAGGATATTTCACATCAGCAGCACTGAGGTATGTGCAAGAGGGATGCGGAATTCGTATCCACCAGCCATGGTTGGGATTCAAACCCGGTTCACCTCATTTGAAGGCGAATGCTCTATATCTGAGCCATCGCGGCTTATAGAAATGGTTTGTGAAATATGGAAAAAGATTAGCACAACCATTTTTTTTCATACTAAAACATACTTTTCAACTTAACTCGCTGATGAATGTTGCATGAAACCGCGGAACATGTTTTTTTCTATCGATATAAATTGTTTGCAAGTGATACAGAGGAGAATTGAGAATGTGATATTATCTCCATCCAGAAATGATAATAAATAATTTTTGTATTGGTTACTGGGAAGTAAAATTAAGGCAAAGTGAAGATATCATCTTTTCATCCTGCAAAGTAAACATATTTTATTTTCTATCTATCAGTTATCTGCAAGTAAAATTAAGGAAAAATGAAATTGTGATATCCTTTTCCTCCAGCAAAGTAGATCTATATTTTTTTTCTAATCTAACTGTTATTTGTAAGTAAAATTAAGGAAATATGAAGATGTGATTATCTTTTAATCCAGCAAACTAAATATATATATTTTTTCTTTATCCGTTATTTCCCAGTAAAATTAGGGAAAAATAAAGCTATAGTTTACTTTTCATCCAACTAAGTTAATATATGTTTTTTCTATCTATTAGTTATCAGCCAGTAAAGTTAAGGGAAAAAGAAGATTTGCTATCCTTTCCATTCAGCAAAGCAAATATATGTTTTTTCTGTCTATCAGTTACTTGCAAGTAAAATTAAGGAAAAATGATTGTGTAATATCCTTTACATCCAGCAAAGTAAATCTGTGTTTTATCTATAAGTTATTTTCAAGTAAAATTAAAGAAAAATGAAGATGTGATTAATTTTTAATCCAGCAAAGTAAATAAATATATTTTTTTCTCTATCAATCAGTTATTTGCAAACAAAATTAAGGAAAAGTGAAGATGTGATTAATATGAAGATGTGAAGTAAATGTATGTTTCACAAATATTTTACCTAAACATCCATGCAGTACTAATATATATTCATAACATGTAATAGGTCTGTATGAAACTTAATAAATCTGAAAAATAGAACAAAAATGCTCTGCACAAAGCTGATTTTTCTCTATGATATTTGCAGTAAAACTGCATAATTTCGAAGTTTCAACTTTTTTAAAAATTAAAAACACTGCTCATCTACTCAATAAAAAATCTTAATTATTTTTCGAGTATTAAATTGAGACGTGCTTTTAAAAGTAATTTGAATTTCTAATATGTCTTTTAGAATATTTTATTTAAGTTTTAAAGTACAATTTTTAATCGTCAATTCGAGGGAAAAAGATTTTTATGAAGCAAGTGATTAAAAATAGAATAGATAATTGTAATAAAAAATCCACTTACAGTAGAGCACGAATTAACTTTCCAAAATGATCTTAAGTAGTTTTAAACATAAATACGAACTGATGAGACTGTTTTTGCTAGTTTATATAGTAAATGAAAAGATAATAGATACTCATTTCAAATGATAATAAAAATTATGTACCAGTTTTAAAACATAGAACATGTTCTTCCTTATTGGTTCACATGTGTTATAATCGTCATGATTTAAACAAAAAACATGATAATTCTTTTAGTATTTGACGTTATCTGTTACTTGAGTGTTTATGAAAGATTTTTAAGAGTTAGTTCAATTATATGTGTATAGTTTCAATATTTATACAGGACACGATAAAATTGTGCGTTGCTTCGTAGTATATTTTTAGCAATTGACGGCAAATTGTTTCGATTTTTAAATTTATCTCATCACACTGACTAGATTTTAATACTTCATACCGTTGAATTTTCAAAATTTTGCTTGCAGAATTTTTTTACATTGCACGAATTAAAACAGAAATTCAAAATATTAATTTTAGTAACACCAATTGTGATAGTAAATAAAATCATAGAATAGATATTTATTATTAGACATTTTTACTGATTTTATTCATAGTTCATACGACTCCATGAATTTTAGTTCATGATATTTGTAAAACTAATGAATAACACATAGGATGCAATTTTTATTTTTGTTTTCTGTTCAGTGAGATTTTTGTAAAAGATCTTAGATACCTTCGTATCACTTATTTCAAATCTGCTATCCGTTTCCCTCTCCAAGCTACAATTTTATTTTAAAATAACATTTTTAGTCTATTTTACTCGAAATTTACAAGTTTTAAAACGTTATATATTACAAAGGGTTGCATAAATGTTGAAACAAGCTTCTAGAGTGTCAAAGCGCACAATCAGGAATAAAACTGCACCTGATCCCATGCCCTCATACTCCACTAGGGGTTTCCCCTATTATGAACTGCTTCTTCGTGTACTTTTGGACAGGCCATAATTACTAAGCGCCTGTAGCCACGTATGACGACATTTCAAGGCAAGAGCTTCTACGTAGTTTTAATCCTGACTATGCGTCCTAACTCCTCTGGAAGTTTGTCACAACATTTAAGCGATCTCTTGTTATATCGTTTTCAAACTTGTATATTTCGACAAAGACTAAAATGTCATTTTTAAAAAAATCTGTAGCCTTAGTAGCAAAACTAATTTTATGTTTGAAATCTCCACGCCCGATTTAGGCAAGATCAAGTGTTTCTATAAATGCAACAAGGAATTTGTTCCCCTGTGTAATAATTAATCTGGGCGTGTGCGAAAATTAATGTCGCAGGTTATACTGAGTACTAGACGAATGCACGTTGCAGCGTGGTTAGCCTGGTACGAATTGGTGAAAAGTGTTGTAACCTTAGTATGCAAGATAACTCAGTCATCTTCGATCATCTGGAAGGAACAATATTTTTTTTAAAAAATCGTTTCTGTCCGTAGCGCATGCAGGATTGTATGAAAGTATGTCAAATTTGCATGAAACTTTCGCAAGATCGCTATTGAAACTTTTCCATGTGTAAGACCAGGGCGAAGGGCTAGTTCATTCCTCTCTTGGAGCTGAAGCTACGATTTCCCTCCTCATGATTGTTTATCGGAATGCTAAGCCTACCAACGGTTTCTGGCATTTTTCAAAGTGGTAAGAAGAGGTTTGCTATGTAGCCATCAACGCCGGCCATCGACATAAGCCATCGGCAAAAATGTTATGCTTGCGACTGAACTCTTTGCCATTTGAGTTTTCGTTTTAAGCCACAGCTATTAGAAATTTGAAACACTTTTGGTTTAGCATCGCGAACGATTGGAAACTTCACCTTGACAACGCGTTTTATCATTCAAAAGCTTTCTGGTCGATTGATGGGATTGATTTTTCGTAAGACGAAATGCTTTCTTTACATTCTGAACTGATTTTTTAAAACTTAATAAAATATTACTTAATTTTGTTTAGCGTAGCTCTTCTGATGGATAAATGATCAAACGTGTTTTCGTTATATTCTGAAACTGATTTTTTCAAACTTAATAAAATATTACTTAATTTTTTTTAGCGTAGCTCTTCTGTTGGATAAATGATCAAACTGGTTTTCTTTATATTCTGAAATTGAGTTTTTTAAACTTAATAAAATATTACTTATTTTTTTTAGCGTAGCTCTTCTGTTCTGTAAATTATCAAACTTGCTTTCTTTAAATTCTGAAACTGATTTTTTAAAACTCAATAAAATATTACTTAATATTTTTTTTAGCGTAGCTCTTCTTTTGGATAAATTATTAAACGTGTTTTCTTTATATTCTGAAACTGATTTCTTTAAACTTAATAAAATATTACTTAAAGTTTATTTTAGCGTAGCTCTTCTGTTGAGTAAATGATCAAGCGTTCTGTGCAGTTTCATTTAATTTCATTATTAGTTTTTAAAAAAATATTGTTTGGATACTTTTGAAGTAGTTATTCATTCACCATTCTTTTAAATGTTTTTTTATTTTCTTTATTGAAGTTAAACTGCTTATTTTAACAATTTCTAACAGTTTGGACGTCCTCGGACAGATTTTGTGAGTTGGTTTCCATCTTTGTCTGCGCACCAGCAGAATCCAGTTGATCCGCTGCACTGTACTTAGCTGTAGCTACCATCTGAATCACATGTTGGAACGAAGTTGCCAAGAAGGTCTGCAAAAAAAGATAATTTTAATTAATATGCATGTGAAATTAAAATTTCTTGGCAAAAAATACACTTTTTTAAACATGAAATTCAGATAATTCTTAATTTTAAAATATTATTATTGTAGATTTTAAAATATTAATATTGTATATTTTAAATTAAAAATATCTTTTATAAACAATATTGATTATTTTTTCTGAGAAATTCATAGGGATTATCTATGGTAATTTTTTTTACCGAACTTTAAAATTTTTTTTATTTTATTTAAAAAATATTTCATTTTAAAAATTTCGTTTTATTTTATTTAAAAACTTTTCATTTAAAGAATATTTCATTAAAAATTTTTTTTATATAAAAAATATATTGAATAGAATAATCATAAGTAAACTGAATTCTAATATGCCATTCTATTATATGAACTTTCATATTGTAATTATATTAGAAACGAATAATCCTAAGAAAAATCAATCCTAATATGATGTTCTATTATATAAGTTTTCGTGTTGTAATTATATTTGAATAAAATAATCTTAAGAAAACTTAATCCTAATCTGCTATTCCATTATATGAGCTTTTTTATTGTAATTATAATTGAATCGTATAATCTTAAACAACTCTATCAGAAAATGTACTTGAAAACTTCATTGAAATCAACAACAAAAAAAACGCATAAAACAATAAAATACGACTTATTATGTAAATAAGACGTGATTTATTGATTATAAGAACAGAATGCCTGCTCACATTCTTAAATCTTTGTTCTTATTTCATCTTTAGGATGTCTTCATCTTTAAGATTTTTTCTTCTTGACATGGAGTGTCGCGTGCAAGCACTCAAAACACGTCAACGTTTCTTCCTTATCAATCATGAATCAGATGAAGTATTTTTATTTTTATTTTCAAGTTCGTAATCAAAATTTTTCCTTTAGTTACAATAAAGGCATGGTTTATTTAATTTTCTGATGATTTTATGAGTCACTTATGATTGATGAAAAATGATTTTATGAGTCACTTATATGAGTCATTTTGGATGTAGTTTTAAGGTATGATAATAATAACAGAACTAACTGTTAGTATTTGGCATTTACACTCTATTCCAATTTTTTTCTCATTTTTTTGCCTATAGTTTAGTTTAAAATAAATCCTTTTGATTTGGAATCAGATATAAACTTATTATTTAGTACTTTAGCAACGCCATGTTTGTTTTATAATATTTTAAAAATTGTTTGCGTATTTATCTAAAAAACTATTGGTTTTAACTGACTGGTACTATATTCCAATTTGAATAAATAAACTTAATAACGTAGGCAGTCTAAATTAAAGTAAATATGGTGGTCCCTTAATTAAGAGAATGCCTTATTACATTCGGGGGGAATAATTGATTTTGATTTACTTCAAATTAAATAAAATATAATTCAATGATGCAGAAAATATAAATTCATGTAAATATTATAGAAATGTAATAAGAAGTAAGTCACATGATAAGCTATTCCTAAAGCCACTGGAGGGAATAGTTTGGATGTATGACCTTTTATACTGGATCCGTTGAAAACTTTTTAAGTAAATTTTCAAACTAATTGTAGCCTTTTCAAAATGAAGTAAGTTCAAAATAAAGATAAAACAAAGGAAAATTACAGACAAAAAAATAAAAAACAACTGGGAAAAAAATTCCCAAAACAAAAAGATAAAATTTTTTTCAAATTTTATTAAAAAATCCGGAAAATAAAAGATCATTTTCATCAGCCCACGCGATTATTTCCGCAAAAAAGAGTGCTTTATAATATTGTATCAATATAGCCAAGGCAAAATATATCAATACAATAGTGTGAGGAGCACTCAAAAAACTTTTTTTTTGAGTGCTCCTTTTTTTCTCTTTCCTTTTTTTTCATATGTCTGTAATTTTCCTTTGTTTTATCTTAATTTTGAACTTATTTTATGAGTTTTATTTACTTGCAGCTTATGCGCAATAAATGAAACTTATTATTTTTCTTAATTTTCTTCGTGTTTTTTTGTATTTAATTACTTTGCTCTCTCTCTCTCTCTCTCTCTCTCTCTCTCTCTCTCTCACTCTCTCTCTCTCTCTC